ATTTGCATATTTGTATATGTTACTATTATAATTATATTTATTATCATTATTTTTTCCGATATTATTGTAGTTTAGTTCTTAAATTGTTTTTATCTCAACATATGAGTCTCTTCTCCCTTCACCCCTTTAATTCTCTTCCCCTTTCCCAGGATGGGGGATGTGAGCAAACAGTGTCGAGTTTCGCCACCAGCCAGGGTCAAACCACAACAGTGTGGGCCCTGGGTTTCTGAGCGTGATTCTGAGGTGTAGGTATGGAGGCCTCAGCCCTGGGAGGATGACTGTGGTCCCCCTGATGAGATCAAGCCTGCCTTAACCTCGCCAGGAAGGTGGCAATGTGCCCACAGCTCCCAGGCGTGCTGCAGAGCTCAGAAGCAATCGGCTGGATCGTTTCATTTCCATTTCTCAGCCAGGTTCTTGGGGATCCTGGACCCAAGCACTGAGACATCTGTGACTACCCATTGTGGGGTGGTCATCTCTGACCACCCGTCACTGCTAACCTGTGACACTTGTGTCACCTTCAGTGACACGTAGGATCAGCACTGCCAGAGCAGGTGGGAAGGAGGGAGGGTGTCAGGGTGGCTTTTTTTTGGTTAGTGTGCTCTGCTCCTTTCCAAAGGGTCAAGAAATCCCTCTAGAAAGAGATGGAGAAAGCCTCCTTCTGCCTCTGTCCCGCTGTTTAAGAGTTAAGACTTTTAATTCATAGTTTTGTATAAGCCTTTCTCTTTGAGGTAATGATTAAGGTGCATCTACCACAGAGCAGTGTCCTCTTCTAGGTGCAATCCCATGTACTTCCCTAGAAGAAAATCACCCTTCTGGTTCTGTCTCCCCACCGAGAAAACCTGTATTGTGTTGTTTTTCCATCCTTTTGCAAATATGGAGGCCACCAGTGAGTAGTTGTGGGGCAGGAGGACAGTGTGGACAGCCCCCGTGCCCATCACTTGCCCCTCTGGTCTTGTGTAGGAGCCCCTCAAGGCTTTTGTGGGTTGTGTTGATCTCCTTGTATTGCTTTCATGTGAGCGAGTTGCCACTAGGACTTTAAATTTTTTAGGGATTTTTTTGCCTTTCACCCTCCCCACCGCTGAGCCCTGCCTAAGCTCAGACTGGGAAGTGAACCAAGCGGCATGATCACACAGACCTGGGTCTTTCAGGTGCAGAAAGGTGGACTCATATCCAAAAGATCAAGGAAAACATCAGGGTTGCTGCATTGATGCACTGTACGTGTTGTGTGGCCTCATCTGGAAGGCTTTACCATTGCTGGAAAAAATGGAGATGGTTTCAATATGACTGGTGTTGCAACCCAACTGGAGGTCCCAGTTGGGCTTGTGTGTGCCAGGAGTTGCCCAAGAGTGCACAGTGAAGCTTTTGAGGGCTTGGAGGAACCAACAGAGAGACAAAGGAGCAAGAAGGGAGTGGGTGAGTGCATCAGGGACATGCTCCAAATCACGCAGATAAGGTAGAAACAGGGAACTTGGCTGCATGCCTTGATTTCCCAGCCTATGTCTGTAGAACCCACTGTCTTTCTACCAGAAGGGAGGAATTAATTTGGAACAATCAGTGAATCACAAAGCAGAAACATTATTGTAAAAATGTCAAAAGCCAGCTGCTGTCTTTGCACGATCAATGAAGCTGACATGCACAAGGGGCAGAGAGGACATGGTGCCCAAGTGCTCACAGTCGTCAGCCTTTGCACATCGAAATGCCTTGGACTCAGAACGCCCGAAGTTGTCATGTTGGGAGGAAGGCATGAAAAATTTTGCAGATGCAAAATTTTTCACATGGTCTCTATGCTCTGTATCCCTGGTGACTTTTATGGTTATGGCCCTGGACATCTTAAGCCGAGCATTAGGCTGCAACAGGTAGTGCTTAGGTTTTTTTTTGTGATCAGGAGTAGGTTTTCCTACACCTTGGAAATGTGAGTTGGCCACTGTTCTCATTCAGTGGAAGAGAAAATGTTGTTGCTGGGATTATAATGACACTCATTTTCAATTTGTTTTGTTATTTTTATACAAGAGCAGTCCCTAAGCATGTGAGAAGATAGAGAAAGACAAGCAGAAGGTCCTGTGCAGCGATGAATTAACTCCGAGAGAGGCTGGATGCTGGACATGCGGAGAGAAAGTGATTGTTGACAATAAGGAAAGCCGTAAGTGCCATGCTTTCGCTTGCAGCGCTGAGAATTTAACAGCTGGTACCCAGCAGTAAGGTCATTGGGTTTCGCATTATGCTGCCTTTAGAGATCTTTCTTTCGGGCATCGCTCAATCCCACTTTACCCAAGAGAGGCGGGCTGTCAGATCTGCACAGAACAGAAGGGAGGAAGGAAAACAAAATAAAGACATACCACACGAATTTAAAAACATTTAAATTAGCATTTAATAAGTCAACTATTCCGCCTCTCCAGAAAAGCAGCCTCGTTCATTTAGATCTTTCCAAGTGGAGCTCTTCAGAAATATTAGTTAACTAGAGCCTGACAAAGGAGGTGATACCTACGAGAGCTGTTTGTGCTGTTTTTAAACCTGTTTATGTATTAAAGGTAGAGGCAGCTGGAATATAAACATTCTCTGTAGTCAAGGGAGTTGTGAGTAGGATTCATTTTCCCTGTCATGTAGCTAATGGAAATTATTAGGAAAGGAGAAAAGACTTAATTAACTATTTCCTTAAAAGTAAACTGAATGCTTTTCCCCTGTAGGCTTTGTCCCTTTGCCATTTTCCTGTGAAATGAAAGGGGAATATTCTTTGGAATTACTTTTCTCTACTTGTGCTGCACTTTTTGAAGGCTGGTATGCTTCAAGGCCCACTTCCAAAAAGTGACAAAACCCAAAGGAACTTATACTGCAAAGGGACAGAGTTAAAAATTGGGTTAATGACCTTATGGTGCAAAGTGCCAGGAACTACTGAAAATCCCCCTCTGCTCCTCCCTGCACTGCTAGGAGACACAAAACCTGTTGCTTTCTATCTGAGACTTGAGTCCTCGTTTTGGGTGCTTGGGCAATTTTCCGTCTTCACTGTATGGTGGACTGACAAAGCAACATATTCTGGTGGAAGCAAGTACAGAGTTCGATCCCACATAAGCCAGGATTAAGTACAAGCCCAATAGAAAACAGAATAACAGTCCTTCACTTCAAAATAGAAATAATGATATAAGAAGGTAAATTACAAATAGGCATTTGCTCCCCTATCCTTTGAAACAAACCTGGAATTTGAGTGCACTGTCTGGTGTATCCTGGTTTTCAATGTTAAACTGTAACATCTCTGAGAAACTCTTGGTTACCTGAGCATATGCATTTTAAGAAATGAGGTTCTGCTCATGTTCAAAGCCAGGTGTTTTTTCTCAGTCAGGTACAAGCCATAGAAAACTTGTAAAAAAAATCAACAAGACCTTTACAGGCTCCATCAGCTTGCATTATAAAAGAACAACTTTGAACAGAATTTTTTAAAAAAGTCTAAAAATGTATTCTGAGAATAAACAAAATCTTTAATCTTATTTGTAAAAGGAACCATTCCCATGAGTTTAGCAAGTTGTTATTTTTTTCTTTTAAGAAAAAAGATCCTTTAAGTTAGAAGAAAAGGTTGGATTTTTTTTTTTAATTGAGACATTACTTAGCTACTTGGTTTTAAAGATAAGAGTTGTATGTTGTCAGAGCCATTTAAATGTGACAAGCAGATGTTCAGAACCAATTGGACCAATTCACTCCCACTGATAATCCAAAAATGATGATCCCTGAAAATACACCCCTTCATTCACTCACCGCTTGTATTCCAGGCTGCCTGCTGTTGGCTTTGCAAACCATTCTTCAGACACTGCTCCACACAGGATTTGGGATCGCATCCGGAGAGGAGGATCTCACCAAGGAGCTCAATGTAGGCAATGGCCAGCCGCAGCGTGTCAATTTTGGAGAGGTGCTTCTCATACGGGAAGGTGGGTACGTGGCACCTGAGCTCATCAAAAGCTGAGTTGATGTTGAGCATCCTCTTCCTCTCGCGGATGTTGGCGGCATGTCGCTGGGTGCGGGGGCCAGGGGGCGATGACAGTGGTGGAGTGGCGGGTCCCCGCAATGGCAGTGGGGAGCTGTCCAGTTCAGCACCCCCCGCCTGCCCCACCGCTCCGCCGGTCGCCTCCCCCCGTGGGCAAGCAGGGGAGGGCCAAGGGGAGAACAGGTCTACCTGGGAGGAGCAGTCCAGGAGGAGGTTGTCCAGCTGGAGCTGAGCGTTGGGATCTGGCTGGTCCCAGAAGAGAAATTCAGGAGTGGAGTCTTCCTGCTCGAAGCTGTAACAAAGTTCCTCCATCTTCTGTACTGGTTTGAAGCAAGCTGATGGAAATATTTACAACTTCAGACTTAACTGGTTATCAGGAAAATGAGATTCTAGTTGCATTAATAGCCCCCACCCCCCTCACCTCTAAAAGTATCAGAGGCAGAGAGTCCTGGTTGTGTCCTTGAGGAACACTATTGCAAAAGTTTCCCCAGTTGCAAATCTGAGCGGGACTCATGATTTAAATACTTCATGGCTCCTCAGCAGGGGAATGAGCCTGTTCTCTGCTCAAAACTAATTAGTACACGTGCTTCTCTTTCTATTAGCTGCTGACTACAAAACAATATGAATGAATGTAACAAGAGAGAATGAGTTTTCTATTGACTTTCTCCTGCAAAATCCATTGAAGCAGTTATTGAGTTCTTCCACAAGTTCAGTCTCTCCACTTGCTATTTAGAGTTGGGTTCACACAGGGATTTTGTTGTTGTTGTCGTTGGGTTTGGTTAGGAGTGGTTGGAGGTAGAAATAAAATGCAGTCCTTTATCTTTTTGGTAAAGTGTTAATAGCCTCACATTCTCCTGTGGCTGGACAAACAAAACCCCATTATAATGCTGTCAGAAACATATGATTCTTCCCTCTTTGACAGCAGAAGCTAGTGGCACCTTCTGCACTTGTAGCAAGGGAATGGCTGTCATAAAGATGCTGTGTTAAATTGGAACACAGTGATACCTCATATTAAGTAAGCCAACTCCACCTCATTTGGTTACTGCATTTTCTGATTCGTACTTAAATTACATGTTTTGTGGGTGATGCAGACATTCAGTGCTCTGTCTCAGACCATACTAAGCACTGGAAAACAGCGGCAGCTGGAAAAACCACAATGGGTGCAGTCCTAGAACGGTGGACCAGGTGGGTCACATCTTGAGAAATGCTGGAAACTGGGAGAGTAGCAGGTGTCCAGCATCACATCTCCTTGAGGAGAAGGTGTTAAGCACCACCAGAACTTGAAAGCAAGTGCACAGTATAAGTAGGTGATTCGGTCCCTTTGATTTCCACGATACTTAAGTCAATGTTCAAATTCATTCAGAAGTAATTTTAAGTGATATTTTAAGGACTTAAATGAATGAAATGCCAACATGTTTTAAATTAGAGAAAGCCTAAATGCTGTTCCTGAAGCATGTCATAAAGAAATTTTATCAAGACACTTAATCAAATGCTTGACTTCACGCACAGACTCAGGTCACGCTGCTGTGTGAAGTTTCAAGAGATGCCCACTGTGAAGTTTATGAGCCACAGACAGCTTCCTGACAGGACAGCTGAGAGCACAGATCTCAAGAGCTTCGGGTAAAGAGCTAAAGAGCAGAAAATGACCTTCAATGGATCCAAACGGATGATCAGCTCCTCTATCTAACAATGACTTAGGATGCAGTTTGTTGTATAGAAGCTTTGCCTGCTGAATAGAGGGATTTATTTTAAGACAGGCCATAGACTATTAGTAACTCTTCTAGGTAACCTGGGATTTTGCCTTAGGGCAATTCTACCTGTTCCAGGAAGTTTAATGCAATCAAAAACAGGTTGCAGGAAAGATTTTTGGAAAGAGTAGATGTGAGAAGGTTGCAGTGTGTGAAACAGTAGGACTGTCTTTTTTGCTTCTTGTTGAGCAAATTGAACAAGGAACCCATTGTCTGTAAATCTGCTTGACAAAGGAAAATACCAACGGTGAATACCTGACAGGGCAAAGTGTGGTTAAATAATGAGAAAGTGTCCATCCTCCTCTGGTCAGCTTAGGGCACGAAGTTTGCACTAATTTTGTACAAAGTAAATCATTTGTCATGATACCGACATACCCAACAACAAAATATTGGTATCATGAAAACCCGTGGTAACGGACAGATTCTGTTCCAGATGAATCCCAACAAAGAGATGAAAAGAATGGCCACAGTCACGGTGCCAGAGCTGAGACTTGAACTTGGGCTTGTCGATGCAGAGTTCATTCTGCAACATTTCTTTTAAATCAGATCACTGTATTTCCCAGCATTACGTACAAGCAATGTTCACCCCAAAACGGCTTACTACAGTCCCCACAGTGGGCACCACGGCTGCGTATCTGATCCCAGCAGTCCCCAACAGGGCTCTGGAGGACACAGTTGTTGTCCACTGCGAGCAATGGGCAGAGACAAGGAGGTTCAGTAAACAACACGGATAGATTTCTGTGCTGGGTTCCTCTTTCTTAGCAGATGCTTCTTCAGTGCTTAATGTTCCCTTCCAGATCCATCACTGCTAATAGTGTTGCCTGGGGATATGTCTGGCTCCACAGATGGAGAGCAGATGTTCCAGCAAGCCTACTTTTAGCGTGTTCAAGGGGAATTTGGCTTTCTTAGAGGGACTCTGGACAAAGCAGAAAGGGGGGGGAGGGTAGGGGAAGAAAGAGAGAAAAGCAAGAAAAGATTTCCCCTTAGAAAGCCAGCCATGAAAGAGGTCAGATCTAGGAAGAGAAGCTGAGGTTCCCATCCTTCATATGAACAACCCTCACCACAACTTCAAACCTGTTGCACTCCTAGTGTTTTTGCAATTCTGTTCATCGGAGGAGGGAATGTACAACTAACGGGGCTCATTTTGCACTTGTCTGGAAGATGGGGGTGAAGGAGTCTCCAACAGGGAATGACGTAGCATGGGTACCACACCATTTCACCCAAAACCTCTTCAGACCCACTGGGATCCAGAAATAATGTTTGGCTGCTCATCAATTTTAATCAGTAAGGTCTAATGAAAGCAAATTCTTGAGTCAGAAACTTTGTACTGGGTTTATGTCTGTGATGGGCTATGGAACCATGGCTGGTTGGGTTGTAATTCTTCCAGGTCTAGATATTTACATCTCCCTTTATAATTTCCTGTATTCATGCTGGGAACTGCCTTCCTCCTGTCCCCCTTTCTCTGTCATCTAAACAAATCCACCCATAGCAGACTGTGCAGTTTTGCCTATTTCATAGAAATTTGGGTACAGACCTGCTTTCAGAGAATATTTCCATCTCAGTTTTTTTATTCACAGTGCCTTTCCAGCTGAAAGCTGTTACCCTGTACTTGTATCTTGAAGATAACAGGGTCTCCTGAGATTATTTTGGAGGCAGATTTTTCTCTCCCCTTCTTGTCCCATTGGCCTTATTGCAGACTCCGCGTGGGGAACCTTCCCAATAACATTTTTGGAGGAATCAGGGAAACCTCCCAGTTCTGTCAAAATGGCTTTTTTCTTTTTTTCATTTCTGGGAATTTAGTTTGAGCATGTTCCCATCATCTTTAATTGCTTTATAAAGGAAGTCAGTCCTTGAACTGGACAAAGAACAGACGTAGAAAGGACCAGATGCTTTACTTTCAAGTTAGATGACTCTAAAGTCCAAGTCCATCATGTCATTGCTGCTAATCCAACGTTATGCTGTGCAGCTCATCATCAGAGTTGGGACTTGGGTCCCAGATGAATGAAGAGGACCAGATGAAAGATGCCCAAAATCTTGGGGAATGCTTTATCCAGGTGAGAGAGTGCAGCAATTGGTGGTGTGGCTCACTCAACATGCATTAGTAATGGCACTGCCAAACCACAGCTACACAGAGGGATCTCCAGGACCTGAGATGGCCTCATAATTGGCTGGTTGAGCTTCTTATGGCCACAGCTAAAGGGATGGGCCACCAAGATCCTATACCTTCTTTTGAGCCATGTGCCATGCCTGGGATACCTGAACTACTGGGCACATTGTTTGTGAAATGCTGGAGGCAAGAAAAGTGCAAGTATTATCATTTAGCAATAGAATGTGCTTCTTTTTAACCTAAAACAATAGCAAATGTAACAATGTAATGAAAAGCAGAACAAGGATTTCCCAGGCAAGAGAATTTCAAAGGAATAATGGCTATTTCTGAGATGCTCAGTGATTGTGAAATGAAACCTTCACAGCATATGCAGGATGTTGATTTTGAGCAAAAAAAGGTAACAGGACCTTTATTATTTGCAGGGTAGAAACATCAGATGTTAAACTTTGTGGAAGAAGGCACTGGTGAATGATTGTTAATACAACTTTGATTTATTTCGTTATTAGTATAAACTAGTCAAGACAGTCTTTGCTTTAAAAGTCTTTGGTGTTTAAAAGTGAACAAAGTCACTTTAACCTTTCTTCAGGGTGTTCTCAAAGTTACGGAAAATTAATCCCAGTCTCCAGGAGAAGGAAGATATTTTCTCTAATAAAAACACTCACTTGTGGTTTCCCCTTTTTTCAGAGAGCTTTTTATGAGTTGGGGAATGACCTCTAGACTCTTACTGCCAAATAGCTTCTCATCCAAGCCACCACGCTGGGCTCTGGGACTGTTCAGTTGAGTGAACAGTCATCTTTGGGAGACAACGTGTACGTCATCCTGTGCTCAGCTGTACCGTTTTGATCTCGAGGGGATGGAAGAAGGTGGGAACTTCTGAAAGAAAGTGGTGTTCCTTGTGCAATGGCCTTGTCCTGCAGTTCATTGTGTCATCTTCATCCACCTGAACCATTCCCCTAGCAAGGTTAACATAACACTGCCTCCAGGGGTTGCAGATGGTGCCCATGAATAATCCTGTCTCCATAAACAATTAGAAGTGTCTCCAGGGACAGGAAGAGCTGCCATTTGTGTGACATATAGTGCCGTTCTCCATGGGTTTATTTGGTTATATCAAAGCAGTGACTTTAGGTACCCTGCTCCCATTCATGGGTAAGTGACGCAGCCATCAGGAACTAAGAAAATCATTCTGCCAGTTTCTTCTTGAGGAAATCAAACCTCAGTGCCTTTGCAAAACCAACGTGGAAAACATACCTTGTGCAAAGCACATGAACAGTTTTTAAAGGGGTGGGTTTTCCCCCCCTGGAGGCCACGTGCCCTTTCTTCAGGTACAAGAAACCCTGAATATCTGCATTGTTTGTGGTCTTGATTTAATGAAAAATTATGTTTAAAAAAAAGAAAAAAAGACCACAAATTCTCTCTCCCAGATCTGTATTGAGGCAAATTTCTTCATTAGCCTTTCT